TATAAAAGACATATATTTTTACAAAAAAAAATGCTGAGACTGCAGCTCGCCCTGCACAAGCAAACACAGTGTCTCTGTAGGTTTATAGGTCAGAGGGCTCCCAGGCAGGTGCATTAGGAAAACTGATATATGTGACCTCTCAGAGGCAGGGAAGAGCTGAGTGGGTGGGGGCTGCAGGTGCAGAGACAGGTGAGGTTTCTCCCAGAGCTCAGCCTGAGAAGGGTCTGGGGGTCCTGCATGATTGCAAAGCCTGGCTGTGTGCCGTTCCCCTGGCGGGTAATGGCCTCCGTGCTCTCTCTAAGCCCTGATTGTGGCTGCGGTGCAGCGGGTGAGTCAGGACTGTGGAATTCTGCTGAGCCGGCGAAGGCACCGAGTGCTCCACTTGGCCCTCGCCTCTGGGGTGCTTGTGACACATGCTGCCGGGGCGAGGCTGCAGCACACGCAGACCAGGACTGGGCTCGCACTTGGTAAGGCTGGGTATCCCCTTGGAATAACTGAGCAGAGCATGGCACAGCTCAGCAGTTTCCAGGATCTTTATGCACTACAGAAAATAACACTGGGTCTAAAGGGGACTAGTGTCTCGGTGACGTCCTTGGCTATAGAACTTGCTCCTCCTCTGTGCATCTGATGCAATTCCAAGGAGGCTAGTGAATTTGGCCCAGTGTTGTGCGGAAGCAGCTGTGCCATTGCCTGAATTGTTGGCTGATGGTTTATGTTTCAAGTCACCCCTGTGCCTCTGTGGTTTTGAAGCAACTTGCTAGTGAGTGAATGGGTGGCAGCACAGGGTAAGGGTAGGGGTTTCCCTGTGCTGTGCCCAGGCTGCTTCTCCCTTCTGGGAGGGTGGGGGTATTTGTTGCCGTTTTGAATCTGTAGATCAACCAGATTGTCCCAGTAGACAGTGACACAGCCTTGGGGGCCCAGCATCTCCTTGGTGAAGTGTGGCAGAGGGCAAAGCTTAGAGTAATGAATTCCCTGGGTTGAGGGCTAGCTTGGAAAGAAATCTGCATAGTTTCATAGATGTAGGGTTGGACGGGACCTAAGTAGATCATCAAGTCCGACCACCAAAAGCAACCACAAAGGGATTTGAACCCTCAATCTTCTGAGGCAAAGTCAGATGCTTTATCCATTAGCCCACATGGTCGTCTTGTTTCACTCCTTCCCCCACCAAATAATCGAGTGTCTCAGGGCCCTTGGCACTCATCAGCTGTACAGCCAAGGTGCATGGATAGTTTGGGGAAGGAACTGTATCAAGATCTGCCAGCAAGTCAGGGGCTTGGTAAGAAAGGGATCTCTGGTGCATGAGAACAAAGAACTGTGCTCCAGCCACTGGATCATGCTGCCTTTTTTTGCAGGGTTTCCCCAAATAGCAAAGCAAAAGCCCATGCTAGCCTTTGCCTGTCCTCCCTCTGAGCTCAACTCTTGTTTTTTTTCCTAGGGTTTCTTAACTCATCTGCTTCCCAAACTCTTGGAGCGAACCAGACATGGGCGAGACAGGCAAAGAGGAGTACAAGATACAGTCGTTCGATGCTGAGACTCAGCAGTTACTGAAAACAGCCCTCAAAGGTCAGCAAATATGTCCCTCCCTCCATCACCTCTGGGCCAAGCTGCCCTGCCCAGTCTGGCTGGTGGATCTCAGCTGGGCAGTCTGATGCCATTTCGCCATGTTAACTTTAACTGCTTAGTGTGTGTGATCTGGTGCAAGAACAGTTGTGTTTAGTGGAACATTTACACTGGGGCTTCTGCTGCCTCCTCCCTGGTATTTAATGCAGCACCTATTCTGGGCTGGGCTCCAGGCTTGGGAAGGGAGTGGTCTTTAATGACAGAAGAACTGTTCTGCTCCCATGTCTTTGACTCTCTGTGTGTCCCCCTCTGCCTTGCTATCCCCTGCCTTTCTCCTTCTATCCAGTCCTCCCACCTCTAGCTTTCCTCCCTTCTGTACCTACCAAGTCTCCCCTCCTATTTCTTCCCCCTGACTTCTGGCTTTTCCCACTCTGCCTACATGCCCTCCTTCCTTTGTTCACTTCTCAGCCCCTGACGCCTGCCCCTCAGCATCTGTATGTAAAGCCCAGTAGAGTTTGCCTGTTCAGCTCCCATTTAAACGAGCCTTGGAACAAGGCCAGGGTCTCTGCTCTAAACCCCCGAATATTCTCCCCTGCTTCTGCTCTTCACTCCTTCCCTCCCTATCATGATGACTCTCTCTGGCCAACACCCTTTGGAGATATCACCCCTAAACCAACCGTTTGGGATATTAGAGGGACCATTTTAGCTGCATCCAATTCCTGCTGGGTTTGGAGCGAGTCTGGGTTTTGTAGTGTAGATACACCACACATTTACCAAGGTTTTGCGCACGCTGCACTAGGATTCAGAGCAGACAGACAGACAGCTTATCCCAGAGTAGCAGACTGTAGGCTGCTACTACAGCCCCTTGCCACTGGCTGGTGGGGAGCAGGTGATACCTCAAAAGAAGGGCAACCCTGGGATAGTCTGGATTAGACTAGAGCCGAAGACACAGGACATGTATACCTGTATGATTTATATACTCCTGAAGGTAGCTGCTAAAGTTTTGTGGAGTAACTTTACACTGGGGTAGGGTGAATTAAACTGCTCAGAGGTGTGTGGCATGTGCCCATTCTGTTGTTACACTGACATGAACATGTCCAGGGTCCTCACTTCTTGTAGCACATGGTGCTATTGTGACTCTCCCATCCACCTGTAGCTGCTTTCCAGCAGTTCTGGAGCATTAGTAAGGTGTGTGTGATGTGGAGACCCTGTGCAGTACCAGGGGGAGCCAGTGATAAGTGGGTGGCGGTGACAGCATGGCCTCTTCCCTTGCAGACCCCAGCAGCGTGGACCTGGAGAAAGTTGCCAACATCATCGTGGACCAGTCCCTCAAAGACTGCGTGTTCAGTAAGGAGGCTGGACGCATCTGCTACACCATCATCCAGGTAAGTAGGGGGCTGCCCTCCTGGGTCAGGGTTGGGGCTGCTTTGTAGCCTGGCCTCTCTGCTGGGCCTGACTCCCTCCTACAGCACTTACACAGCACAGTGCTAGCACTAGAGGCCCTCAGAATGTCTCCCTGCCACCCTATGCCTAGGACACAGGGGGCCACCCCTCAAAGGGGATGTCCAAAGGGGATTGTGTGCTCTACCATGGCTATGAAGTGACTGGTTCCCAGGGGCTCCTTCCCTGGCCCCATGCTCTGCCTACCAGGCCAGCTCCTCTTTGTCTAAATGGTGTACTGGAGCAGCCAGGATTTCTACCCGCTGCCTGACAGACATCAATTCAAAACTGCTCCCCTTAACACAAGCACACCTGCTTCATGCTAACTCCAGGCTGGTCCCTGTCTCAGAGTTGGGGTCTTCATGGCAGAGGGACTTGTGCATCGTATTGGAGCAGCCTCTTTCCAAGAGAGCAGGCATAAGGCTGGTCAGGGGAGTGCTGAGTGTGATAAGGTGCTCCAGGGAAAGGAGGGGAGAGAAATGTAGGGGGATGCACAGGCTGGAACAGTGGTCCTGGGTTTGTCTGCAGCAAGACTGGCAGATTGCATCCTCTTCTGGGCAGTGGTGGGAGTCTGATCATTAAGAATGTGTGTAGACCCAAGTCTCCTGGGTGCCACATCCTTCTCCTCCTCTACCTCTGAGGTCTCAGCTCTTTGCCTCTCTCCTGTTGCCATAGGCAGAGAGCAAGCAGGTGGGTCAGAGTGTCTTCCGGCGGAGTTTGCTCAACCGGCTGCAGCAGGAGTACAAGGATCGGGAGGAGCTGCGAACCCGCTCCCTGCAGGCCTGGATCTGCTATGTCACCTTCATCTGTAACATCTTTGACTATCTGAGGGTATGGAACCGGACCTGGGAATGTCCCTGGCTCCTGCCCCATGGCTGGAGATGGGTCTGAATTGAACCCCTGGAAAAAAGCATCCCCAGAGTTCAGGCACTGGCCTGGATCCTGGATCCTGAATTCCATGCTGCATGTGGTGGCGAGGTTCAACAGGGTCTTGGTTCTGAGCTTCTCACTCTGCATACACAGGAGATCTGCATTTACATTGCATAGTTCAAAGCCTCTCACTAATTGTGCCATGACCCTTTACCTATTGGGGATGTGCATTTTCCCTTAGTGGTGAAATGCACAATGTCAGAACTGTTGTTAGGGCTGATTCTCAGATAAACAGATGTGTTCTCAGAGTGAATAGATGTGGCCCAACTTCTTCCCCCTGCTCCCACTCCCTTGGTGGTTGCCCTTGGAAATCCTTCTTCCTCATCTCTGAGGTTTTAACTTAGAGCTTTGCTGCTCACTTGCTATTGCTGAGTTAGTCGCATGGTGTCATTCCCTGATGCCTAATTGGATGGGCACACCTGCACTTGGCTCTCTGTGGGTCTTTGCGCCAGCAGACTTCACATGCTCCAATATTGGCTGACATGGGCAAAAGACACAATTGCAACTAAATCATGTCCCATGAAGGTTTGGTTACATTTTAACGTGCACATAATGGCATTGCTTGTCCATCCTTGTTAGCACCTTTCAGGGATGTCTAGTTTCTCTCACTAGGAGAGACTTGAGTGTCTGTGGTTTCCTTGGCAAGTCCTGTCAACACTGAGCTCTCAGCCAGTGACATCAAGGCCAGTTCCTTGGGGTCCTGTTTCCTTCCCCTTTCGGAGAGCATCAGTCCTGTAAAACAAGCAAAGCAGCTCTTCTACCTGCAAGTTGATACATTCGTGCTTCCTGCTAACAGGTGAACAACATGCCCATGATGGCGCTGGTGAATCCGGTTTACGATTGCTTGTTTCGACTGGCACAGCCTGATAGCTTGCTGAAGGAGGAAGAGGTAAGTGCTGGTGGTACGCTAACTTACAAGCACTGCTAAGTGATCAGAAATAATACAGCTAAGGAGGAGGATGGTGGGAAAGGCTTGGACCCCTATTTGCAGCAAAGGAGAAGACACAAGGCCCCACAGGGCTTTTTTCCTAGGACTGGTTGTAAGTGGCAAGCATGGATAATGAAGCCTTGTCCAATGGGAAACTCCCTGCAGCCCCAGACTGGAGACAGCAGAAAGGTCCTGGCTGCAACTCTATTGTTAAAATTGCAATAGTTCTCTTCTCAGCCTGATTTTTCTCCCTGTAACAATATGTTTTAAAGCTATGGCTTGGATTGTGAGCATGGCTGTATGTAGCAATTGGTGGATATAAACACCTAAGACTTGTCTAGCACAAGCAAGGAGTAGTTATGAAACGTATGTGTTGTCTGCCATGGACTTTACTTGTACTTGCTGTTTTCTGTGATGCTTTATGTCAACCCTTCCCTTTGAGTGGAGGGTAAATTGTGCGTGAGGGCAGTGCTGGCAGGTCAAAAGACTCCAAATGCACTAACTTTCTAGAAACTTAGAGAGTGTTTCAGACAGTTTCCTCTGTTCAGTTCAGGTGCTGACACAGGGCTCTGTGAATGGGCTCACTGTAAGCGCTGATCCAGGATTTTGTGCCCTCTTGGGAGTCCCAGCCTGAGCTGGGGAGTTTCTAGTGGGACGTTCCAGTCCCTTGCCTCCATGTGTGAAATTGTGGGACCTCCCTTCAGACACATCCCCTCCAGAGCTGCTGTAGGCATCCCACCATCTACTATCAGATATTTCTGGGGTGAAGAGGGCATTTAGGACCATACACTGTCATGAGGAAAGAGGAATCTTGAATCAGAAATAAAAGGGATTGGGGACTGGGGAGGAACCCCCTAAGCTCACTGTAAAGGGGCCCAGCTCAGAGGCACCAGAGACCTCATCACTGCCATATTTAGGTGCTCTTTCTCCCCACCTCTCTTCTGTGCCTCAGGTGGACTGCCTGGTGCTGCAGCTGCACCGCATTGGCGAGCAGCTGGAGAAGATGAACTCCCAACGCATGGATGAGCTCTTCTTCCTCCTCCGGGATGGCTTCCTCCTGCAGGAGGGGCTCAGCTCCCTCTCTCAGCTCCTGCTGCTGGAGATCATTGAGTTCCGTGCAGCCGACTGGAAGATGACAGAGGCCGCCCAGAAGTACTACTACAGTGAACTCACGGATTGACCCCGCAGCATCTAGAACGGACTTCACCAGCATCAGTGAACTGACCCCAGCACTTTCACCAGCAAGCTTCACACACACAAGTTTTTCTAGTGCTTCTTGTAAATAGGATTTATAATATTGACACCCAATAGATGCTCTGTATCATGTCATTACTAGATTGCAACTTGTTGGACTGCTTTAACTTAGCCAGAGCTTTCACTGTTTTCATTCAAGGATGGACCCATGTTAATCACTGCCTTTCAGGCTGTCAATGAGCTTGTAACATGGGCTTCAAGCCCAAACCAGGATTTTACATCAACAGGCAGGAAAGCACAGGTAATGGTTTCCATTAAAATGTGCCCTCACCTTCCAACTCCCTCAGCCACCAGATCTGAGAAGAAAAAGCTGATGCGTCTTGCCTGGAGAATTTCTGTCTTCCTTGATTTTCTACCCCTTGGGATCCCTGCCCTTACTTCTTAAACCAGGTCAAGACGCATCATGCTTCTACCCAAAACAATGGGTGTATGGTTGAAGTCCTTATGTGGGTTATTAAGTTTTACTTCTTCCAACCCTTCCATTCACCTGCAGGGTGCAACCAGAAGCAGTGACACCTCCTCCCACTGGTGACAAAGCCACCCCCAGGAGCAAGATTGAGCATATGCAGCTAGAAACTGTTTTTATAAGTTTTATACAGTAACCACAACAGAAGGTTTTTCTGAACAAAACTGAGTGGACTTGATCACTGCACATTTGTGATGATGATAAAGGCAGAGAAAGGAGGGGAAAGAAGTAGGTTTATGATGCTTTTTCTAATAAAACCTTTCTACTTATGAATACTGTGCATGCTCTCTGCTAAGCTGTAGCTGTATCATTTCTACAGAGTGGAAATATTGTAGAGTCCTAGAAGTGGTGTACAGTATGGGACATTAAGACTGTAACATGTTGGTTAGTCCTCTGGTGTGGAAGAGGTGCTCATCAATACTGGTCAGATGAAGAGACAGAGAAAGCACTGTAATATTAATTTCAGTCAAACAGAGGGGTCTAGAACAGTGTTTCTCAACCTGTGGGTTGCAACCCAAACGTGGGACACAAGAAGATATGAAAGGGTTGCAAACAACTTTAACAATGGATTCTCCTTTAAAGGAGAAAAATGTGGCAAACTGTGGCTTTTCCCTTGTAGGCAAGCAGCATTCCAGCCTGCAAGGGGCTGCTTGGGACTCCATATGCCCCTCTTCCCCTCCACACACACTGGGGGTCTGGGGCCTCAAGGCAGTGGATCGGGAGTGAGGGGCACTGGATCAGGACTGGCCATTGACAGCAGCATAGAATTCCTCCCCCCCTGCATGGAATGGGATTAGACAGAGGTACAGTGACAGGGAGATCCCATTTTTATTTTCTCATTGTAACATTCAGGTCAGATTTTTTCAAACAATGATTCTGCTAAGAGATGCAACTCCAGTGGGCTGAGAATCTGACTGGACTCATCTGTCTGGCACAGCTACCGCTGACTGTTCATGCTGCAGACCAAATTCCAGCTTGCTCTTCTCTGGCTCAACTCCTAACAAGCAAAGCCATGTGGAACAGATCGACTTGAACCCCCCTGCTCCTGCTCCAGATGAGGACAGGTGGGGTAGGGAGAGTTACTTAATAGTGTTCCTCATATGTTTTTTTTCTAAGGGCTTCACTATATGTGGAAATTATTTGAAAATAACCAAACTGTGAATTTAGAGGGCAACAGAGCTCTAGCAGGGGGGTTAATCCCCAAGGGGCAGAAAAGTGCTAAACCTCACATAACCATATTCATCAACTTGCTTTTTCTCTTAGAAGATCCAACCTGGAAGCTGCCTGGGGACACTAGGACCTGCCTGTCTGAAAGAAAGCAGCTTTGGGATGCTTCTTTATAGGGCTGGGACTAAGGAGAAATGAATGTAGGAGGAAATGTCTTCCTGCCTGAGGCAAGGGCTTCCCAGCCCACCGCCATGTCCTTCGGTACCAAGTCCCCTATCCCCAGCGGAAGTGGGCAAAGGCCCGGTTGCTCTCTGCCATCTTGTGCATGTTGTGCTTCATTTTGATCACAGGGCCTTCACTGTGGAAGGCCAGCAGCAGCTCCCGGGAGAGCTTCACATGCATGAATGTCCGATGGTTCTTGTTCTCCGTGCACTCAGTGATCAGCCACTTCATGGCCAGGAAGCGCTGACGGCTGTCCCTAACAGGGGTGGGGATCTGGGGGGGGGGAGAGAGAGAGATGTATGAAATGCCACTCCAAGTGGTTCAAAGGAAAGGGACTAGTACTGAAGAGATAAGGAAAGGACTAACTCCATCCAGGTAGCACAGTTTAGCACTAAAGAAGCTTGCTGCTCTCTCTCTTACTAGCCATAGATCAGCTAAGGCTTGGCCAGTGCGAACTCCTGGGTGCCTACTTGCCTCAACCCCAAGGTAGGCTACCCTTTTAAGGGTGAGGGTACAATCCCATTTAGTTTTGGGCCCAGTTCAGAGACTGGCTTTTGTGACACAGAACCTTGTTCACCAAAAATGGAGAAAACCCATTTCCTCCAGGGCTCAGCCTACTCAGTAGGGTGGGGAGGAATTTTTGGCCACTGCTCACCTGAGGTAGAAGAAAGCAGGTAGAAATCTCCCTATTTTATCAGTGTTCCAGTCTAATGATGTCTTTGCTGATGCTTTCAATAAAATTATCCATACAATCCTTTTTATATGCTGAACTGTCTTCTGCAAGAGCTGAACTGCTTTCCTACTTTTGCTCCAGCAAATAGTCCTACCCAGAAGGAACAAACGCGGCCTTGTGGCCAGTGCATAATTCAGCTCTGTACAGCATGCCTCTGGTCATGCAGAATACCTGCATTCTTTTGTTGGCTCTGCCACAGGCAGGAAATTGACCTTCCTGTGCCTGTTTCCCTCCTACTTTTTCTCTTTTGCTACTTAGGCTGCAAGTGGTTTGGAGCCAGGACAAAACTGAATATAGAACTCAATGGAGCCCTGATCTGGGCTAGGGTCTCTAGGTCCCAGTGTAACTGGTTCCCCTTCCAAAGGAGAGGCAAGCAGTGTTTTTGGTTATTTCCTCCAGACCGGGTTGATTTCCATAAATCCCCCTCCCCTGTTTACCTGGAAGAATCTGCCACTTCTTGAGATGCTGGTGAGTTCAATGATAGGCTTGCAGTTACTCAATGCCTGGTGGAAGATGGTATATGGGTTGCACTCAATGTTCACTTTTTCCTCCTCAGATGCTTCGTGATACTTCTTCAACTGCTTCCTTTTAATGGCTTCTAGAGTCTGTGTGCAAAATGCAGGGAAACTCACACTCAGCTCCAGCCGTTAACCCCCTCCAAGTTCAGACAACCAGGTCAGTTTAACACGCATCTTCCACTTTTTTTTTTTTTTTTTTAAATCTGGTTCACAGTCTGTTTTCCAGCCCACTGTAGCTTCAATGGGCCTGCTGAGTACTTCTGCAATCAGCCCAAGTACTTTTGGCTCTAATTCCAGCTCGTCTCACTTTCTTGCCCTGAATGCAACACTCAGCCCTGCAGAACTCTAGTTCTCACTGGTTTTCCTGTAGCCTCTTGACCTGTGTCTAGTGTTTCATTTCACACTAATACACAGGAGTTGGCAAAGGGGAGATGGGACTAAAATTTTCTGTCCCTCTTCCTATCTTCCCTTTGATTTTTCTGACATGCATTTCCACCTCTCCAGAAAATCAAGCTGTTTTGCAGAATCAGGTAGTTTTCTAACCAACTTATACCAACTACACTGCACCCCTACCTGAGAAGTCTTATGTGTCCCCTAAGGCAGGAACCCTGAACACCATGAACTAGGGGAAAAGTTCTATATTGGTGAGTTGCAAATGAGGCAGAGATGTTGGCGGAAGACAAGGGATGACTTCATAAGAAATGAACAATTCTATATTCAGAGTAGGATTTGAACAATGTGGTAAATAAGACCTGTGCAATGGTGGAGGGAAGGCAAAGGGATAGTCATTAAGTTCCATATAAGGCAGAGGCTTGTACAAAAACTGGAAGTGATGACTTAATTAAAAAACTACTGTATCACAAAAAAAGGGCTGATGTTAAATTGCAGAGGCAATATTAATCCTGCTATAGTCTAATTTTACATGTTTGATTGCACGGTCCTAGCAAGTCTTGTGATATAGTCGGAGCACAGTGTCCAAAGGAAGAGAGTGGAGTTCTCACCTGCATCATGATGGATCTGGCCAGTGTTTTGTTTCCGTTTTTGGTCATCATGTTGATGAATTTGCTGCAAGCACAGAACAAATAAGATACAACTGAAATACTGGTTGCAACACAGAAGGCAGCAGCTCCCATGCTGGGTTTGTTCCTGCAATTACATCTGCTCCCTGCTGGCATTTCGGTGATTGTGCTCATCTTTAAATCACAGTTTGGTGACAGAGCAGCCCTACAGGGAAGAGATTAACCCAAATGAAGGGATTACATGGTAACAGGAAGACAGCGTGCAGCCCAGTAGATGAGAGGCTGCTCCAACGGTTTGGAAGTGGAATGCCCACTTAGATTTTTCCCTCACTGAACTCTTTCACAATAAAATAAATTTATTGACAAATTAAATAACGAATCCTTACTCCAAAGACGAGAGCTTGTTAACACTGTCTGCAATCAACCCATATACACTTACATGTTAGGGGAAAGAAATGATAGGACATGTTTCTCATTGATGGTGACCTCCTAAAATGCCCACCAGAATAAACAGAACTCACAGCTGCTCCTAGCACTTCCAAGCTCTACACCCAATTGCAGTCACTGGTAGTGACCACAGTGGAAGCAGAATCAGCTGCTCAAGCTCCTTTTTCCCCAGGTGGTAATAGAAAAGATGGGGCTTTTTCTGACCTGACCAGAGGGTCACTAAATACAGAGCTGGTAACAGAAGAAGGGGCAGCTTTTATGGGTCGGGTGGTTTTGAAGTCATGTTGTTTTTTCTCTTCCTCGGGCAGCTCTGTTGGCACCTTGTGTAATGTCTCCTTGTTCACCTCCGGTTCAAGGAAAGCGGGGGTGTACCGCTTCCATCTCACCTGGATCAGCCTGCAGAGAATAAAATGAGAGGAAAGGCTCTGTCAGTCTCCACCAACATAAAGAGCATGATTCTGGAGAGCTCGCTGAGTTTGCCTCCAACATTACAGACCAAGCTGCAGAAGAGAAAGGTAGGGAGACACAGCTTTCACCTTGCTAGCATTGTTCGTATGACAAGAAAGCCCCCAGGTGCCAAGCACATAAAGGCCCCATCATCCAAGCTGCTGTACATAAGCTAACAGCACGTCCCTTTTTAAAAGAGACCATGCACCAAGTAGGGTCTAGAATTCATTCATTTTACACACGGCATGAACACTGAGTATTCGTACTGTTGTAGCGTTGTGTTACTGAATATTTGTACTGTTAAGTGTTAAATTATTAATATAAAGCCAACAAGAGTACAGTGGCTTGATAAGGCAAGCCAGATGTTACAACAACATAGAGCTGCTCTGCACCTCTGCCTGCGCTACCCTTGGGGCAGCCATGGTGCGTTCTTTCCCTTATGTGGTGACAGCCCATTGCTGAGGGACCTGGTGGGACTACAGGCAGGGAGCGCACCATGGGACATGGGCGCAGTTATTTTGGGATTTTGGTACGTAGCTTAGCCACCAAATCCATACAAAGTGTGACCCTAGTGCTTCAGTGCACAGATGTCTGCACAGTCAGTCTTGCACATGGCCTGCTCAGCGCAGCCGACAGCATCTCGGATTCTGTTCTTCAGGAAGACCGCGAGCACCCCTGAGTCTCCTTGTAGGCGAGGCTGGAAATGTGTGCACAGACCTGCCCCAGGGGTGGCATTTAGTGTCTTTGGCAAGCCAGGCGGTGGATGGCTGGCTTGGGAATATCCTGGATGCTGTCGCTGAGAACCACATGGTGATGCTTGGCACCTCTTTCCCCCAGTGCCTGACCCCCTTTGCCACGGCCAAGCCTGGCCAAGCACCTGCAGGTCGGGGACCAGGCGAGATGAACTGAGCCAGGACTTGCAGTTCTTACATCCTTGGCTGTCATTGAGCGCCGCCATCCTCCACCTTGTCAGACCCGAGGCCACCTCAAGCCCCGCCGCCCCTCGTGAAGTGCCAGCTCCTCGTTCCCACTTGTTTTTCGACTGGAGAAAACCTCTCCGCCCTGCTGCTGCAGAGACCCGAGAGCCCCCAGGAGGTTTCTGACACGCTGGGTTCCTATGGGACGCCCCTGGGCCGCTCCCCAGTGAGAAGTGGGGCTGCAAGGGCCTCCAGAGCTCGTGCCGTCCAGCCCCCGGCCTGAGGCAGAATCATCCCGGTTCAGCCCCACCCCGCCAGGCCCTGGGGTTAAATTCCTCCCGACCCCGCCTCACCCGCGCAGCCAAGCCCCGCGGGCCGTGCGCAGCACCCCGAGTGTAGGCGCTGCCATCTTGCCTCCGCGCTCAGGACCTTGCGGCTGTCTGGCACACGCCTGAGCGGAGTTTAGCATCTCTGCGCAGGCGCAGGAAAGGGGGGGGGCGGTTCGCTCGCGTTGTAGTCTGTGACGTCATAGCACCGCGGCACGCCTTGCTCGCCCGGCTGCTGATCCAGGCTGCGAGGGG